CTGAGCGGACGGGAAGCCCTGTTTTCCACACCCTGTGGTCGTATGTGCCTGGTTACTCACAGAGTATACTTAAGTAGTGCTTGTAGTCAATCAATGATTTGTTTTGGGTGGATGAAGACTTCCGATCTCCTCCAGATGATGGATGTGAAGCGGATACACGTCATGGTATAGAGGTTCGGAAAAGTGACGAATACTATGGACGAGAATAAGTTCAAGATCAAAATTAAAATACGAGCAGTCGAATCGAGCGCCACCTAGAGCAGTGGGTCTGGATTCTCTGTCCAAAACATTGTGCTTGACTTCGCTTAGATGTGCATCTCGTATATGAACGTTTTCGGTGTCCTCAGAGAACAGAGCATGGCGTGTGTATTACCGATACTCTAGGAGAATATCCAGCTTGGGTTCTCAAGTAACGATGGTACGAAGACTTACCTGAAGAGCATTTTGCAGTTTTATATGGGTGAAATTCCAGAATGATGTGATGATGTGATCTTTGATATGTTTTATGGCACTTGCGAGAGTAGCCACAACCCAAGCATACCCAGCACCGGCCAAGGATACAGTGTGTTGTAATTCGTAGATTAGAATAGTGGAGTATGGCAGTACTATATTGTCAAAGGATCACCCTGCTCCATCACTTTCCAGCAGCGACGTATTGGGATTCTCCATTGTTTCACCACGGTCATTGGCCGCCTAAGAAATGTCTGGTGATCGGCAATACAACAAACACTATAGGCGGGTGAATGACCTCAGCTTAAGCCGCTCGATGTGTGAATCAAACCTATCATGTTGCTCTTTCCTAAGATAGTGAATTTACTGTGATGGGCATGGAAGCATCATGGTGACATGATCATGACCCAAAAATTACCCCCAAGTTTGTGACTCGAACACTAACATCCTTCCTCGCTACTACTTCATCAGTCTACCAGATAATAATCAAACTGCACTCATGGAGAACATACCTCTACTCAGCGGCAAAGGCCGTGAAAGATCAGTCTCTCCTCGGCGAAAGCAACTCGCTGGACTCTTTGACAACCTATCCATCTCCGCCGTTGCGAGCACAACAACATCTGCCAGTATGCAAAGCACCATCAGCAGTGCTTTTACGACTCGTGGCTGGCCTCCCTCAAAGGCCTCTCGTGTAAACGAAAGCCGTTTATTCTACACAATATCCATGAACTCGTCTGCCCGGGCGTACATTCCCCTCGACGACGATTCCCCGAGAGATCTGTTCAAGAAAGCCACAGATTTCTATAAAGTTATCCAAGAAAAGCTGGAAAAAAAGGGCAGCGCTGGTACTGCACTCATCAGTGATACTCTGACACGATATTTGGGTACCGTGATCTTCGGCAGCAACAACATCGAACGTGCTGGCCTCAACCTGGAAGAGACCAACAAAATCTGCGAACGTATCTTTCGAGGAGAATTCGTGGATCCAGAAAAAATACCTGAAAGGTAAGAATTTCTACAGATAGATACCCGTTGTGACAACAGCTAATCAAGATGTGCGCTTCTTCAGAGAAACAGATTACGAGAAGAAACTGATCGAGGCGATCCACTCCAAGACCCCAACATCTCATATCATCCGAAGCCAGCGAGAGGTAGTTCAACATGCGTTGGCACTGAACTTCTTGATGAATGAAATGGTTGTCAAGGACAAACCGCTTTCCGAGGACCTGATCCTTCGTACCCACCGGATTCTGACGAAGTATATCGACACGAATGGGGGCATCCCTTGGACGGAATACTCGGGCAGGTATAGAAAGGTACATGTTCATGCCGGAAATACGAATTTCGTTGCGCCTGAATATGTGCCAGCGAAGATGAGAGAGCTGGTTGCCGAGTTCGAGAGAGATATTCATAAGATTGAAACTACCCATGTCCTTGATCCACTCACCTTGGCTGCCAAGTATTGCAACGACTTTGTTATGATCCATCCTTGTACGGACGGTAATGGAAGAATGTGTCGATTGATCCTGAACGCAATACTATTAAAGTACGCCGGGATCGTTGTCTGTCTAGGTGAGAACGACGAAAGCCGCCAGCAATACATCGACATTCAAAAGCGAGCTGGAGAACGTATGGAAGGCTCGGGAGAGCTTGCTGCATTGACTCTGAAAAAGTCAGTTGCTAGATATCGAACTATTAAACAGAAAATCAGCGGAAAGAAGCAGGGCTGATGGTTTCCTCATACTCTTCGCTTCTTTCGGTCTTTTGCTTTGCTGGGCACATTATGCAGTTAATTATCCTCGGTTAGGAATACTTGGGGACCTTGAGTTGGGATTGATGGCTTGCTTCTGCAGCCAGTAACTGGATTATACTTATGAAAAAACTACCTAATTCAAGCCGGCTGTCTACCACTGTTTATTTACCCATGTGGATTCCCGTAAAATTCAAGGTAATATCCGCCAGCATTCATTTTTTGTGACTGACTGTGAGTGCCACGATTCTGAAACTATTTGATATTTGTAAACATTCACTGTAGGCAGACACTTCACCAAATCCCTTTCCGTCTACGTGCCATGTCTGCAGCTTTCACTTCAGTAATCTTCCTCCTTTCGAGGGCTTATTTAAGGACCCAGGGCGCCAACAATTCGAATCCACGTCTGAATACTCTGACAGTGGTATCCATCGCCACTCAATATGGGAGAAACTAACCACGCAAATGCAGTCATGAGAATATGACCATCTTTTACAGGTGAGGAATACGTTCATGTCGCGATGTTTCATTAAAAACAATCTAATCTTTGACCAAAACTTGGTACAGAAGATCGAAGATACTATATAAAGCTGAGTCTAAAACAGAGGCAAATCATCTAAGCCTATCGCAGTCAAACTGTGTTTTCTCTGCAGCTCATAATGATACCATTAAATTTACACCAAGACCCTAGCACCTCGAATATCGAAGATTCACCTTCCACCACAGCACGCGCAGGCTTTCCGAATCACAATACAACCTTCAGAAAATATCGTGTAATGGGACCTGTTATCTGAACGTTGCGCATCTCATCCATACCACTGCCTATGTTCTGCTCGGGCTTGTGAAGCGGACTAAATATTCGAACTATATATACATCCTAAACCTCTCCACAAAATGCTGTTATTCGCGTGATGTTATAAGGATTTGCAGAATGGCCGAGGAAAGATGGTGATCCTTTCTTTATAATTTCATATCATAACGCCGCGGGTCTGGAATTCACAGCATTTAAAACGAGTGGATGATTCAGAACAAAATCAACCTGCGGTCTTTGTCGTTGAAAGGCTCACGGAGAATAACAAATACAGTTCTGCTCACATCAGTCTCAGCGCTGTTAATGATGGACCAATCATTTTTTCATTATATTATATAAAAGGTCTCAGGCCACTTCCCAAATGCTGTCCGGCCTTGTCCAGGTACTAGATCTGCTTGAAACGGGAAAGTTTCGGGATCTTATTCTCTAATAGATTTGGAAGCTTAGTACAAGCCTTATATCATGTCTGCTAAGTGAATATGCCTGCTACGGGTTTATTGACATCACTAACGGAATCAATTGTCTACAGGTGTACAGGATCCCGCAGCTGCGGTAGGCGCACACAAAGATGGGGGGAACAATAGAACTTTGGGCAACCATCGGATCAAGGAAGAGCACCAAGACCTTGCCACGGGAAAACCTTCGACAGTAAAAGCGATTCGAGTAGTGAGGTCTCAGTTTCTATTATTGATTCCCATGATGGTTTATGCGAGGTTATCGATGCCTTAATGAACTCTCCAGTTACTCCCCCCTCTATATACATCGACCTAGAAGGTATAAACCTCGGTCGAGATGGCCGGATATCTATTATTCAGTTATTCTTATACCCACAACACCATGTTCACTTAATAGACGTTCATACTCTCGGGGCCACAGCGTTTAATCATGCAACAAATACGGGCACCACTCTTCGATCCATCCTGGAATTATTTATGATGCCCAAAGTCTTCTTCGATGTTCCGAACGACTCTGCAGCCATGTTCCATCAACATCAGGCGGAATTGGCAGGCGTCCATGACCTTCAGGTCATGGAGGTGGGCACCAGGGCACATCCCGGGAAGTACTTGGCCGGGCTGGGAAAGTGCATCTCGCGGGATGTACCTATGACCCAAGCCAATAAGGCATCTGGTCAGCTACGAAAGAGATAGAGAAGACACTCTTCTCACCGCAGCATGGAGGCTCATTCGAGGTGTTTGAACTTCGACCATTGCCAGAGGCGATAGTTCAATACTGTGTACAGGATGTACTCCTTTTGCCTAAATTGTGGCACATATACAACCCAGCACTTACTCCAGCCTCGAGAGAGAAGGTAGAAGCTGAAGTGAAGAATAGATTTAGACATAGCCAATCACCGCGGTTTATTGGGAAGGGGAGCCATATGGTCTTAGCTCCCCAACTCTGGGAGACTGCACCGGAGTGTCCGAGTTCCTGGCTCTGACTGCATCATCAACACATGGTGATTCACGAACCGATGACGGCCTCCTACATTATTAGGAGCAATAACTGGAGTTTATGTTGGTCTAACTATAGCTGGGGGTTGAATTACTACGTCATTTGAACATAATTCCAAGCTGCCAGACTCGTTGTTGCAAGCCTCTTGTGACGTGTCAGACCCAGAATACTCCGTAACTAGAGCTGTATGGGAATGTAAGTAATCATTCGTGGAAGAGCCTATATAATCTCCGGCCATACCAGTCCGTTCCTGAGCTGTAATTGATCAGCGGCCTTTCAGATGTCGGCCCTCCACAACTATGTACCCATCCGCTTCAACTACAATATAGCCTTCGTAAATCTCCCCATTGGCCGTAGTAGGAGTAGCCCAGTCGTCGAAGCTCTCGGCAAATATTACTTTCGCTTAAAGCCGGGATACCCTTCGTAGAGGATTTGAAGGACCATCAGCAAGTGACCATAACGTTTTCGCATGACCTTAGGGTACGAACCTTCCAGCTGAAATGCCCCAGGGTAGATGACAATCGGCGTTGTCAGGAGCTACGCGTTACTCTTTTTCTTCTCACAAATGCCGAGTTAATACAGAATTCGAGCTCCGTTGGGCATAATACCGATGGATTCCCCTACTTGCGGCGCCGGGTTGGGGCCTTTTTTTGAGGACAATATGTGGTATGCTTGCAAGGTGAAGACAGTGAGCAAGGATAAGACCTGAGAATGACCTTCCGGCCATTATTGAAGTCCTTCTAGCGTATGAAGAAGACAGTGAAAAAGAATAGCGAAGGGGTACAAATAATAATAATAACCCAGCGACTTAATGGCTATGCCCACGATAAACACAGCAGCAGCCCAGTTTGCCACCATGCGTTACAGAAAGTACCACATATGCTATCGACTATCCCGATTGTTTTTCAAGTACAATGAAGAGACCCAATGTTGTTTGTTTATGGTAGCCGGGCTCTTGTTTCTTCCTGCATGGCGTGGCAATCCTTGTATTCCCCGGCGATCCCAGATTCCGACGCGAAGTACTAGTGAATCACCAATCATCGAGACTTAGCAAGGTGCTCATGTCTCAAGGCCTCATTCTTTTCGACTCTCAGGATGTACCAATAGCAAAGGCCATATGACAAATCTAGAAAGAGAAACATCCCCGCCGACCACAAAATCAGAGGATTGTCCAGCCAGGCAAATGCCTCAGGCCAGTACCTCCAACGTAACGCAGCCATACCCACTACGCTAAGAGAACCAATAAACCTCGATATCCTACAAGTAATATGAGAGTCAGCTTCGCGCTGGGTTTAGACCATGTGAGGTATTTTACCACAGAAGATTCGACGCCCCACGACTACTTCCCCGACAGAGCAACTGACACAGGCCACCGGTGCCGAGAAGCAATTGGCAGAACGCCGCACTCCATGTATATGCAACTTCAGGACCAATGTATGCCGCAAAAGCTATATGTCCAGTCAGGAAGCCAAGAGTACACACGGCAAAGATGTACCGAAGGTTCCGTTGGACCAATGGTGCGTGGGACCATTCATTGGGTTGGTGTCTTATGGCGCTGTACATGATCGCGACGTTAACTAAAAGCGCAGCTACCGTAACGATCAATTCCAATCGATTCTTTGGCGGGTATATTACTCCGTAAGAAAATTCCCAGGCAATGTTGCAACAGAGAGGCATAATGCCCATTGCGTATGTCTTCTCTTTGAAAGAAATATGAATCATGCCAGCGTAGTTGACTAGCCAGCCCAACGTCATGGTTAAGGTGAGAATATTGACAATGGGCTCAACGGCTCTGTAAGCCGCTGGAGCTTGAGTAGCGTCAAAGCCGTCCATGGTGTTATTCCGATGATTGTGGCCGCAGTGTCATTAGTTCGCAGCGATACTTGCGACTGAAATATAGCCGTGGACTTGGTTCGTTCTTAAATAACGACAGCGCCCGTGAAGGCGATGCGCAATCTTATTAGCCTGGCAAACCGCGGGTTATGCAGCGTCAGGGGTAAACAAACATGTGCGGACAGCACTTCCGTAGTTCCCGCAAATGAAAAGCAACTTACTCGAGGATTGAGTACCGGACCGAGAATTAGCACATAGTAATGAACGAATCGCGGGCTACAGGGAGCAAACAGTCCACGTGTAGTGTGGTTGTTGTGTTTGTCACATACCCATGGCCTCCGCTTGGTTGGATGTTGCCTGGGCCACTTCTCTGTCCGTATTTGGCAGGAGCAGTCTTATCACAGGAAGTTGTCATGGTCATGGATGGATTGGGGCGCCTCCTTACCCAAGTCAGGGTAAGTTTGATTTCATCTTGACCAGTAACGACCTAGAAGACAAGGATTTACATTACATTCCTCCCTTCTGATATCAGGTAGAACCTCAGTCTGGAGCTGAGCTACGATCTGCTGCACAAATGTACATATCGAGTTTATTGTCTAACCATGACGCAAAACCTATAAGTCACATCGTCCCAGATTATCCGTGATCATTCGTCCGGGGGAATAAAAAAGAAAGAAAAAAGAAAGAAAAAAACATACCGTCCAACTCCCCCACTCCACAGCAGACAATGATTTGGTTATGCTGTCTATTTCACACTATTCGGGGTCTAACATTGCATATTTCCAGATCTAATCACATTGGCCTTCAGAAATTGCCACTCGTGAGCCACAGATGTCAATCGGTTTTTGTCTAAATATCTTGCAAGGCGAGCGGTCCACGGTAAAGTAACTGAGTGGTACTGTCCTAATGACCAGGCTTCCTACACAGGCGTCCTCTCAGGGTTCCTATATATTATGCGCAACTTCCTTTATCCGGGAAGCACTTGCCAGTCTAATTTTCACAGCGTTCATGCCTAAACTGTAAGGTATCAATAGGTGGGGGGGGGGAGGCTTTTCGCGCATGTCAGAAGCTTAAGGACGCCTACGTAGTAATGTGATCTATCGGTATCTGCAATTCGCTATATTTCAGTGCATTTTCTTATTTTCGCGGCTCTCACAGGCCGAGAGTTAGCATGAGAAGATGCGGTGTGGACGGAGTCCGACAAGTTTGGCGGTAACTGTACGTGACTGCCTCCCGAACCTTGTCATCACCCGTGCGTGGCTGCTCCCAGCGAGCAGCAAGATAGATGCATGAAAAGTATACACCGCTTGACCATCTGTTTCCCATAATTTGGAGGTACACTGGCGTAGGGGATAGTCGACAAGATATCCAAAATTTCCTCACTGCGCCTCCAAACAATGCTTATCAGCTATGAGAAACCTAATAATTGGATTCAATAGAACAGAACGTGGAGGAGCCACTGTAGAACTGCACACAACAGCATTTGTTGCACCGATCATTGAATCTCTCTGCTCCTTGTAGGGATATGCTTCTTGTAACGCTTATAGTATTATTAGTCTCACAATTCACTATTTTTCTGGCGGTAGGAGACGATCATATCTGGCTTTTTGCATGGCTATCAGTCGAAGCGGGTCGGGAAAGCTGAAGGCTCGTTTCCACTTAATATCAAGCTCCCTCGGACCTGTGTGGACAGCCATCGCTTACGATTCTCTCTATTTCGTTTTGGGAGGACCGATAACCTTGAGTCTGTTCACTGGCTAGCGCCGATTGCTGCCATGGTGCCGTTCCCAGTGGGTAAATGCTTATCTTTGACCCAATATTCTGCTCCCTGGCACGTGCATAGAAAATTAATGCGGCATCGGTACTAAACTGCAAATGACTCTGTGCATTCGCTCAACCACGTCCTACTTTCTTGTTCTGATTGCGGCAAATGTAGATTCTGATGTGCACTGAGAGATATATTTTGAGCAGGGAAGTGACAAATGCTAATGAAAGTGCTGGTTCATTGTGTCACACAAAAGACTTTCTACTCATGGTAGTGAGTACTAGTACTACAGTATATTGAGCCCAATCGTCACGCCGGCCAATTCAAATAATGTCTCAGTGACGAGGACGATGATGGGACTGAACTAAGTTCAAATTAGACTTTTCGATTAAGAAAGATGGAGAGCAGCAAACATATCTGAGCATGGCGGTCGCCTTGGAGTAAACACTCTTTGCCTAATTTCGTGAATACTATATTTATTGGGTGATCGATCGCCATGTACCTTAAGTATGGTTTATTTAGCAGGAATACAGATGGGAATCTAACAATTGGCCTGCTGGCCCAATGGTAAGGCGCTTGACTACGGATCAAGAGATTGCAGGTTCGAGTCCTGCGTAGGTCAATCTTTTTTTTCCAGTTTTCCCAACCTAAACTTTCGGGCTGTAGTTAGACGGCTAGCCCGTGCACCACCAGCTCACCCAACATTAACTAACGTTAGTGAAAATGGGCTTACAAAAGAGCAACATTGAAACCACGTACAGAGTAGATGCAACACCATCAACGAGAACAAGAAGCAGTTAATCATGATATATGGACCTTATCCATTGCCACAGCCTACGTTTCTCCCTTGCGTGTCGCAACATCAATGGAACTTAATGCCCATCGAATGCCATGTATGATACATCGAAATATCGCTGAGGGCTCTTCAAGCCGTCAATAAAGCTGCACGTTCCGGTAGTAACGTGCCAATGTGCCATGACAGATTGTTCCAAGCCCCTCATTGGCCACTATTCTCCGCAGGTCGAAAGTCGCATGGGGTTAAATGACCGTGTCATGTTTTAGTACATACAGTCTCATGTATACTGCTACGTAATACTCTAAATGCACTGTTACTCGTTCCCTGCAATTTTGCCAATAAACCGACAGCTTTGAGTTCAAGAAGCAATATAAGGTAAGGCAGAGTAAATAATTGATTTTACTGGCATATCGTCGACTCACTCTTGATGCAAAGAGACAATGCCTTTTCTACTATAATATAAACAGCGTATTTACCTTCTAGGTGACGGACAAGAATAAGATCTTAGGTTCATTGTTGGTTAATTCTCCTTGCCTTCCAGGATTGTGCCAGAGTAAATAGACTTCAACGAAAATGGGTCTGGCAGGTCTTGTGTCCAGCTCCAACAGCTATTTGCTCCTTGCTTTTACTCTTGCCCTCTACCTTTCGTGGCTTGCGATAAGGGAGTGGAGAAGTAGATTCGTCCATGGTAGTGAGCCACGACTAATTCCCTACTGGATACCAGGCAAGTTCAACTTCAGCAGCCTTCAATCATAGTCTCCCCTTAGCTCATGTGCTAATATTTCTTCCCTAGGCATCGGCCACACCCTTTCATTCCTAAAGGATTTTGAGAAGACGATAGACAACGCATTGTAAGGCTTCGCTATAGCAAGGGACGGAGTACAAGTCTTAACGAAGCTTCAGGCCATAGCTCCCAACTAACGATAGCCCCTTCCGACTCCACGTGGGTGGTCAGCCGCTATATGTGGTCCAAGATGCCAAGTTGATATCAGAGGTCCAGAAAAAGAACAAAGTAATGGATAACAGTTTTTCTCTTGACATCCTGTTGGCAGCTTCTGGTATCTCACAGAAAACAAGAGCTCGCTTGTGGTCTACGATGACTGCGAAGACGAAAGAGCCAATCCCTCGTGTTATCACCTCGAACGCACGGAGCGCTCTTCGAGCACAGCCCCGGGCTAACCCCTTCACTTTAAAGATACTTGCCCAGCTGAATGAAACTCTGACACCTCTGGCTGCCTCTGGCGCACTGAGAAAATCCATTGCGGAGCCAGCAGAGGTTTCATTGTACAAATGGGTGGTGGACGTCATTACTGTGGCAGTAACTGATGGGATGATGGGGAAAGTGTGTCTAGACCGCTTTCCAGAGACAGTGGACGCAGTGTTCCTTCTCATCATGAATGTTTATACTGTCTTTCAGAGGCGTCCTAGAATGTTTGCCAGACAGACCTACGATACCACTGACAAGCTGACGCAGCTTCTTGACAAATACTTTAGCCTACCGAGAGAGAAGAGAATGGACTGTGTAGAGTTCGTGGCTAAGGTCGAAGACGATATTCGCTCCGCGGATCTTTCACAAGAAGAGTTGTCTAAGATGTTTATTTGGGTTATCTGGGGGTGAGTCGATGATTATACCCGTTCGTACCCGGGTTCTTTCACTAAAGGAAAGACAGTATACTCGACAATCCGGCTATTCTGGCATTCTGGTTCCTATCTCATATCCTTTGGCGCCCTGGGCTGTTCTCTGTGATCCGCGCAGAATGTGAACAAGCGTTTACAGAAAACAGCCCGCTAGCACCGTCTGACATCTCAGAACGGCTTGGATGCTGTCCAACCCTTAAGGCTACCTTTCAGGAAACCGCGCGTCTCAACTGTGGACTGCATTTATTTCGCCAAGTCTACGAAGATACCGAAGTCGGTCGCTATAGACTAAGGAAAGGGTCCAGACTCATGATAGCTTATAGTCGCGTTCACGTGGATAAGAGCCACTGGGGTCCTGATGCAGATGAATTCAACTATCGACGCTTTCTTGACAATCCGGGGCTGGCGAGTTCCAAGCATTTCAAACCTTTTGGGGATGGCACCCATCAGTGTGGGGCCAAGTTGATGGTGCCGCAGCTGCTCATGTACTTTGTTGCTATTGTTGTGTGCCGATATGACTTCAGAATAGCTGGTGGGTTCGAAAGCTACCCATTCCCTAAAATTGATGAGTCAAAAGGAAGAGCTACGGTGCCGATGCCAGTGGTGGATGATGTGCCTCGTGTTAGTATTACACCGCGCAAAAGCGCTGTTTAATGCTTGGAATGCAGAGTCTGATTATGAGATTATTGAAACGATATTCGAGTTCTCGTGCTTTTTTCAATAATTTGTTCTATCATGACGTTGCTCATGTTCGATCCAAGTCTGGCTGCTGCCAACCAATAATTATGCCATGACACAAGTGCCATGTACAGATATTGCTAGTTGGTTATCAACCATCATCGCATTAATCACTTGCACAAGCCCACTTACCGGGCAAAGCTTGTGACAGTCCTCGAATTCTTTCTGTTTTTCTTTTTTTTTCCCCTTCATTTCTTCTTTTCATTATTTACTCTAGAAGGTTACTACACATAAGTGCCATCCACTCAAATCTTTTAGACGTCTCCTTCCTTCCTTCCGCTTCTTCAAACCCTGATCCGTCCAGACCTGCCAAATCTTGTGGAAGAACGCCCTCAGCTAGTCCGAAGAGTGTAAGCTTCGTTCAGGGTAGTGCTATGAGTTTTATCATGTTTAGAAAGAATAGCAATTATCTTAGGGAACTGGGCCTTCTGGCTCGTAGACTTCAAAGGGTCTCGCCAAATTAAAGCCCAGTGACCCTGGCCGAGCCTCCATTCCTCACTCTCGGCCCCACGACAGTTAGGGCCTGATAAAGAATGAAGTAACATGCATGTAGTTCCACTCAGTCACGTATGAATGAAGGATCATACGATAATCCTTATCTCTGACGTCTCGCTGAGTGGTTGTCATACTGCGGTGCCTGATAACGCTGTCAATCCGACGTGGAGAGACGCTGTGTTTGATATCGTTCTTTGTACGTATGTATCTATTTCCATGTCCCATTCATTTGATTATACTGATATTTGCTAGGAATTTCACTACGACAACCGTACGACGGGCGTCGTTAATCAAAGCTTAATGACGAATACCCTTCTCCCTATGCTGGAGATCACGCCTCAGAGTGGCGCTTACCTCAACGTAGCAGATTTCAATCAATCTAACCGGCTGTGGACTTTCTTTCGCAATAATTATGCGAACTAAAGTCCATAAAGAGTAAGTACGGTCACGATTTTAGGTTCCATGCGTTTAAGGCAGTAGAGAGCGAGTATTGGTCTGCGCAGGCGGATGGTCGGCTGTGTCGAGCGAAGTGAGTTGGGTGGATGTTAAAAAGGAGGCAGGATGGGTAATCGATGTAATATATATATTTAAACAATAAATTGGTTCTCTTGGCATAATGATGTCGAACTTTCTGGAGCACATGCTGTTGATTCTACGCTAAGATCAATCCAGTCCTATAAACTCGGCTGCATCCTCGGGAAACACAATTGAATGAGCGTCACACCTGTAGGATTAAGTTGAACCAGTCCGACCCCGAAACTTAAATATGACTTTTGTGAACACGTGTCTTTGTTGCTAAATGCTACTGGGTTTCTCAAGCTCAGTGCTCCTTCTTCGTCCGGCTAAAGATGTGAATTAAATTCAACCCAGCGTCAAATAGAAGCATCCGAAACAGGAACTTTGCTGCAGGTCTACCTTGATTCATTCCTTAAAGCTCAATTGCCGCGCTGCAAAGTCTGCTTGAACAGCTAATTTGCATACCTAACTGCACTCTCCAGCACGATCTCCACCGCTTGTCCAATCATTCGCCGCTGCTGGGCGCAGATCATAGCCAACTTATGAGATGATCTGCCTCGCATATGATCTGCACGATCGATCTCAGGTTCCAACATGCTCATGGTGAGCTTTTATTGGCCGGTAATCAGTGGAGCTCGGCTTTAATAGTCCTATAGCTGTCCGTAGCTGCAGAATTATTGATCGGAGAAGCTGAAGAATACTATCATGTGTAACCACATCATGGCGACTATATCGGCTTTCTCAATAATTGCCTATTCGCCTCTGTGGATTACTAAAAAATTATTTGAAAGCTAGGGACAAAAATTATGAGTCTTCCATTCACCGGTTTTTCTATCAAGTATCCTCGCATCTAACAAGAATTTCTCGCTCATAACAGAGCTTCAGTATCTCGGGTAGAAAGCCTTATTTTTCTTTCTTTGTGATAGAATCGAAGGAGTCTAGACGTTCTAGTCCCCAGCAAGACCAGCGCCATTCTGCTGTTGCTGCTGATGCTACTGCTCCGCCAAATGGAGGAGTCGCTGGGTGGTCTGCTGTGTTTGCCTCTTTTCTACTCTTCGCCACAACCTATGGTTACTCCTCTGCATATGGGGCCTTCCAGACGTATTACGAGTCCGACTTATTGCGCTCCAGTTCCCCATCGCGCATCGCTTGGATAGGCACTATCCAAGGATTCCTCATGATCTCTACAGGCGTTTTTGCGGGGCCGCTTTTCGATCAGGGATACCTGCACTCCCTGATGATTGTCGGCTGTTTCCTAAACGTAATTGGATTCATGATGCTGGGCTTATCTACTGAGTATTATCAAGTATTCCTATCGCAGGGCGTTTGTAGTGGCATAGGCTGTGGCTTGATCTACGTGCCCGCCTTGTCACTTGCTTCCACCCTGTTCACTACACGCCGCAGCATTGCCGTCGGTCTGTTAACCTCCGGGGCTAGCATTGGTGAGTTGTCCTGATCGGCAAATACTCCGGTTTGTGTGCACACTCGCTCACTATAGTGGTATCCAGGTGGAACCGTCTTTTCAATTCTCTTCATCCGGCTGCAACCACGGATCGGCTTCCCCTGGACAGCACGCACCCTGGCTTTTATCCAAGTGGCGTGCTCGTGCATTGCTGTCCCGATGCTAATAGCCATAACCAATCCAAAATCCAGCCCGCCACGCCAGCTCATCCACTGGCACGCTTTGAAGGAGTTAAGCTTTGATGCTTATGCAATTGTCATCTTCCTATTTTTCGTCTCCTACTTCGTTCCGCTGTTCCTTCTACCTTCCTTTGCCCCGTCCGCGCTGCACACCTCAGCAGACCTGAGCGTCTACATGACGGCTATTTTCAATGCCAGCTCCAGCATCAGCCGTATCGGTTGCCCTCTGCTGGTTTCTCGTTTCGGCCCTATCAAAGTCCTGTATACTAGCATGGTTATTTCGGCCGTTATCCTCTTTGGCTGGACGGGCGTCCACAACGTCGCTGGATGCATTGTCTTTTGTGTCTTCCTCGGGGGTTTCACTGGCAGCTTTGTCGCCGTTATTCCGGTGTTGATGGCTCATCCGGTGATTTCGCCTACTCCATCGGTCATTGGGACCCGTATGGGCATGCAGTGGTTTGCTGTTAGTTTGGGTGCATTGATCGGTGCGCCTATCGGTGGTGCCTTGGAGGGGTATGGCGGAAGCAACGGATTCTTGGGAATGCAATTGTTTAGTGCGTTGGTGATGGCTCTGGCATCGGCAGTCCTGCTAGTACCCATGAGGGCGATTTGGCGATATGATCACGCCCAACGAGAAAGCGGCGTTGTCTAGTTCTTTTTTGATGACTGCAGGGATCAAATGACAATCAACGGCGGTAGTAAATATTCTCTTCAGGGTTGAATGTATATTGGACTTGTTATTTTTCAGTAGAAATACATATATATTTATATACATATATAATAATTTCAAAAAAAAAAAAGAAAAGAAAAAAGAAAAAAGGAAAAAGAAAAAAGAAAAAAGAACCTGGTGCGATTCACTGGCAATAGGGGATATCGACTTGATTGCCTCTCGACAAACCCAGTAGTATATATTTTCCGTACCGGAACATTGAAGTGGAAACGGTCAAGAATGACTGGAATGAGTTACCCCATTTAATCCACGACTACTATGACACAAGCTGACTACAGCAGGTGTATTCTATATTCGGGCTTCTTGGGACACAGAGCTATCAAAATCTTGGCTTTAACAATACACACTACTTAGTTGGTATTATTTTTCTGCTTCTGATTGATCGTTTCGACGTAAGGAAGGGGATTTTGCCTCTTGAAGCTAAATACTTTGACAATATTCAACAAGCATGGCCGGATGGTGTAGTTGGTTATCACGTATCGTTAACACCGATAAGGTCCTGGGATCGAGCCCCAGTCTGGTCATTCTTTTTCTTTCCTTGATTTTTTCCCCTTTCGTCAAGTAGGAGGTGATCATCCCTACTGAACCACTCACTACTTTAGATTTAAATAAAATCCATCTTCTTAAACCAGTTCATGATCGCTCTACCCACATCGTCAAACTAGCCCAGCTATAATCAAGGAAAAGAGAAGAGATACACGTGAGCTTCCCAATTTCCGCTATACAAACTCCTGGCAGAAACCCCCACCATAAACCCCTCACCGCCCACCCACTTACAGAAAAACTGTTATTTATATTTTTAGTAAACGCTTACAGGCCCAACTGAAATGCCCATCCCCTCATCATTACTCCGCATCTACACCCAAATATTCAAACCCGCAAACACAATAAAAATGCCACTTATCTCCAACTTCCAGCTCCCCGCCTCGGCGAACCTCCTTGAGGTGTCCGCCGACAAGAAACTATTCCTTGCCTTCGTGTCTTCCGCAGACCCAGCTACCGGACAAGCGTGGTGTCCGGATGTCCGTGCCGCATGGCCTAAGATTGAGGAGGCGTTTTCGGGACAGGATGGTCCCAAGGTTGGTGTTGTTGAGGTTGGACAGAAGCCTGAGTAAGTTATACCCCATTCATTTCTTTTATTATTTTCTATATAGACTTCATCTCAGTCCGTTCTTGCTGACTTCATCCGCCTTACTTTCTCGGGGTATTGTAGATGGAAAGACCCACAGAACGCCTACCGGACAAGATGGAATGTGAACAACATTCCTGCGTTGGTGCGGTATGAGTCTGTTAATGGAGAGGTTGTGGAGACGGGAAGGCTTGTTGAGGGGGAGATTCTTAACCAGGAGAAGCTGAGCGAGTTTATCGATTCGAGGTGAGGGGGTTGTATGTGTATTACAGTATGATGATATGAATGTTTTAGACAGCGATGAGCTATTTGGATGTGTAGTAATGTATCGGTGTCTTGGTTGCGGCGAGAGTGTATGATTTGTATGTCACGTGCGACGTATAGACCTGGCTAGGGATACGAGTATCAAATTACCCGACCAAAATTGCTCAGGTGATATGGTATGGTGATAGAATCGGGCATAAGCGGTAGAGTAAAGAATTTTCATCTGGCGAATACGTGGATATTGAGTCTGACACTGGTTCCTGAAGGGAGGCGTTGATGCGACCTGCCGCGAACAACAGAAATGGTAAATCATAGTAAACTCGGTCTGAATAATGCCAATATCACGACTTGACTACAAAGGAATAATCCGGGTGGTGAGAAGGAAATAAACAAATTCCCAATTGCGCCCACCTTCGCATTGTGGTATATGTTGCATGATTACCTCATCTGGGCAGTGTACCACGGTACCAGAGAATAGCTTGACGTAGGGTAGGTCAAGCCACTCCTGTCTGAGGAAAGGACCGCAACCTTAATCCAGTTATGATATGTGAATTAAGGTTACATGCGCATGCGCCAGGAACTACGGGCATGTCCGAATTATAGGACGTATTTAGGGCTAATTTGGGGTCACAAGGGCGGAACAAGGGATGTTAAGGTGCGGGGAGGGATATTCTCGATTCGATAAGATGATGCTGAAGACAGCTTAATAGAAGGGCTGTTCTCTTGATTGGCTTGAAAAGAGATGTATGCTGCGTAGATGACGCTGTGAGTGCACTGAGTGACATTCCAGTGTTGATGTTCTCCACCTAAGAACAGGTTCCGGTCGGCAATGTTACATTTACCCTAAACTTGGCGAGTTTCCTGCTCGACGCTGGCACTCAAATATGTTTGTTCAGTAGTCATAAAAAAGGTGATAGGAAAAGGAGAAAACTTCACACGAGAGGTTCATGATTGGGATCGTGAAAACTGTCCATATTGATCTGCTATACCTAAGGTCGATTTACCAACCATGTCGGCCGGTACTCCTGAGCAGCGTGATCGCAATCACCAGGTTATCAGCTCTTATTTCATCGGGCCTAAGGTGGGAAACCTCGAATAATTTTAGAAAAATATCCAAACTATACTGGAAGAACTGGAAAATGCTAGATTAGCTTATTTCCCCGATGATGAAGTGAGTGGCTAAGCATAGGCTACACGACTTGTCGAATGAGGAGCTAATCCGCGATAGCCATTCATACCGGAAGATGTAAAGAACAAGGACCTATACCAGTTGATTGTGAAGAACTTCAGCGAGGTGGTACAGAAAGTTGCGCACCTGATGGGACAGCAGTCAATTCCGTTCTGGTCACCTAAATATGAAGGACATATGTGCACCGACATGACCATGCCAGCTCTTCTGGGCTATTTCATGACTATGCTGTACAACCCGAACAATGTTGCTTTGGAAGCAAGTCCATTCACGACCTATGCGGAGATTGAAACGGAAGAGCAGCTTTGCGAGATGTTTGGGTACGATGTTGGTCCCAATGATTCGCCCCGGGGATGGGGTCACATTACTGCTGACGGGGCAATCGCCAATTTGGAGTCTATCTGGGTGGGTAAGTATAGGCAGCCCGTGCGAATATCGTGATGGGAGCTTACTGAAGGACTTACCAGCCCGCAACCTGAAATACTACACATTATCGCTCTACCTTGCTATCAAGAAAGGAAAACTACACTTCTTGACTGGCAAGTTCGAGATCGAGAACTGTCAGGGCGAGACCAAGATATTTGATGAGATGACGGCATGGGAGCTGCTAAAATCTTCGGCCTGACATCGTGCTTGGCATTCCCCAGCATCTATATGATCACCATAATATCTCCAACAACTTTCTAGACAAGGTGATGGTGGATTACAATATCCAAAATATTAGTAGAAGCCAACTGGAAGAGGATTTCCTGGAGACTGATGTTGTCAACGACGTGAAGTTCCCATTCAGGTACATGGTAGGAAAGACTCGCCATTACTCTTGGCCCAAAGGCGCCGGTAAGTGGGTCCCAATCTTTGATCGCGCTGGAGCTCACTGTGAATGGAATAGCAATCGCTGGTCTCGCCTCCGACTTCATGTATGGAATCAAAGTAGACCTAGAGGCGAGACTCGACGTCGAGGAACTACGAAAGGAACTTCAAACTTGTTTCGACGAAAAGCGACCCGTGTATGGGGTTGTTGCTATCATGGGATCAACTGAAGAAGGTGCTGTCGACAACCTGAAGGAGATTGTGAAGATCAGGGGATGATTTCGAGAAGATGGGAATGTCATTCTTGCTCCACGCCGATGCGGCATGGGGTGGGTATTTCTCCACCATGCTGCCGAGAGGTAAAGAGCTAGAACAACAAGCTGAAGACCTTAAGAAACAAACGACTTCTAAAGACTTTGTTCCAAGTTTAACCATGAAAAGGCAAACAGCTGAGGACCTCAAAGCCCTCAAACACGTGGACTCTATTAGAGTTGACCCACACAAAGCCGGTTACGTTCCATACCCGGCAGGCAGCTTGGTGTACCGGGACGGCCGAATGAGGTTTTCGGTTACTTGGACCAGCCCTTACCTTTCTCAAGGAAATGTAGACTCCAGTATGGGAATCTTCGGCGCTGAGGGAAGGTGAGTAAAGCTTTGCAGCACCGAGTCGTGTCGGCTTTCCTATAAGACTAATGTTCGCGCAGTAAGCCAGGAGCTGCAGCAATGTCGACGTGGCTCTCAAACAAAACCATCGGTCTCATTTAATACGGCTATGGAGCACTCCTTGAAGAGACTGCATTTACCAGTGCTAGAGTAAGTAATTTAACCTCAAGTAGGGGCCAGGACCATCGGCTAATTACCACAATTTAGTAATCAGCGTACTGGGCCGCGATAGGAGATGGAAACGACACCCCTGATAGGATGTTTATCTGCGTTCCCTTGAATCGACCGCCCGCAGAGAATGGAAATGGTTACTTCTCCACAGAAGCCAGAAAAGAAAGGGAACTCATTCGAGACAAGTTCCTAAGAAAGTCAAATGACGACATTGCTGCAGCAGACGAGGATGGAAAGCTGATGGAATTGCTCCGCGAGTTGGGATCGGACTTGAACATCAACGCCTTTGCTCTAAACTGGTTTGATGAGCATGGACACCTAAATGAGGACCTGGAAGAAGCAAATAATCTCATGAAGAGGGTTGTTGACAGATTCTCTGTCAACTCTTCAGACAGTAGTCCGACCACGCGACCGCTATACCTGACCTCGACGGAATTCGAGCCTGAGTTGTACGGCGAATGCGCACAAGAGTTCATGCACCGGATAGGCGTGAAGAAGATGCCGCAAAATCTATTCGTATTGCGAAACGTCGTCATGAGCCCCTTCCCTACGGATATGAAATTCATCGATGGGTTGATGCGAGAGTTTAAGAAAGTTGTGATGCAGGAGGTGATTGTCAGTCGGGAACGCAACAAACAGGGCCGTCAGCAGGCATCGTGTCTTATGCAGGGTACGGATGAGGTGTTCTTGGTTTACCAGCCCTCCTTCCATGAAGCGACTAAGAAGGAACAAATCATCGTGACCGCCGATATTTGGCACAAAGGCGATTACGTGAGCTTGAAAAGAAGTGGGAAATACAAGCAGATAACGTTGGAGTCACATCACAACATCAACCTTGAAAAGAAATTGAAACTATTGGCATGGAAGAGTTCAAGGCCACTGATGACAGAAAAGGGGAAGAAAGAAGGTCAGGATAAAGATGAGGATCACAATATAGGTGAAGCAGAACCGGAAGTTCCTGAAGAAGAAACTCTTTCCTATTTTCCCCACTTCCATGACTGCCCGGATAAGCTAGATCGTCGATTGTTCTTTCTAGGGCATATTTACGCAGATGGCCACAGGTAGATCGCCCCACTTTACTTTGCTGCGGATCGAAGAAGCTAACCCTAGTGTAGGAGGTTATATACGGGTGTGACACTGAAAAGAATTGTGAAGAGCCGACCTCTCAACCTACAGCATCGGGACCATAATTATCCCCAGAGCTTCACACCATTCTACCTTTACAGGACTGAAAATCAAGCTCACATCAGCCACATGATGCTCAACGCGCTCCTCACGGCGGACAGCATACACTTTGATCAAGCAACCAAAGACAAGATCAAAGACAATCTAAGCCAGGGGCTTATTCTAGGTTAATAGACTATCCGGAAGGATCTATGCAGCCAACTCACGAGCCTCTGCCCGATAAATTCTTCTTCCGTCAAGGCTCGCAAAACCTGCGGGTGAAGGTGTGGGAAGATCCCTTTGATGCTTGGGCAGAGGGTCCAGGCTTACTGAACAACCTTGGCAACACCATTGCTGAAGGTACGATGAGTCTGGGTAACGAAGTGCAGGTGGATGCAGAACCTGTCAATTATGACCCCAATGGATCGGTGCCGCCTGACCCTAGCGGCTGGCAGCAAGAGTTTGATGCAATCGGAAGTGTATTGAACACAAACTGGCCGGCTGAGTTGACTGTGCCAGAAAAAGGGTTACCTAATTAATGTGTGGGACCGCTCTTTTCATTCCCTATGCCCCCAAAGCATTACTTGACCTGTTATTAAGTTCTCTTCGCGCCGATAATATCGTCATACAAGCCTCCACAGGTACTCACCTACAGGGCCTAAAACCAGAGCTTGATCGCTACCAAAGAGCCCAATTCACTTCGAGTTGCGTACATTTAGCTCGAGGCTTATATATCTCAGTGAATCATAGCCAAGAATCAATCCTACAAGATATTCTTCCGTGAAGTAGATCAGAAGTCTTTCAGCTATTCTCCGCATCTGTGGTGGAGCTTGCGCCGAATAACCGCACTTCCCGCCCATATCGATGATTATACTCGATCATGCACTAAGAAGTAGGTTGATTAATTGTACATGGAATACCTTTCTTGAAATTATGTCACAGCACTTGATGTCGCATCTGTTGTATCTCAGACTTCATCCATACTCACGTGAACGATAATGCACTCCTGGCATACATGGTCCACCCTAGCACTTCTTTCCCATGGAAATCCAAAACTACAATTCAGATTTAGATTCTCTCTGATCTTATCAGCTGGATCTCACATTGTCCTAAGCTGCCTCTTAGGAACAATACTCAGAATTATCATAAAAAGTAGCCTAAAAGATACCTATCATGTCAACCACACCCACCAATGACCCCGCCCGGGTGGCCAGCATCATGCTGTCGTGGCACTCACTCGATCTCATTTCCTGTACAACCCTCCAGACCCTGTGGGCCGGGTACGGGCACATCTGCGCCCTCACCGCCCGAGCCACCACCGCCGAAGCGGCGGAGCACCTCGGGAAACTTTACGGAGTGGCTTCGAGAACCGCGGGGAGCACTTTTCCTCTGATTTTGAAGCTCATCTCACCGCCTCGCAAAGCAGCGGGCAAGGAAGATGAGGGACACCTCCGGAAGATGCTGAGTTATGAGGTGGAGCAATACTTTTACAGCGATGTAGTCCCCCGACTGGGGGACGATATTGCTGTTGCTAAATGTTTGGCGTCGACGCGAGACATGCATGGAAAACAAGGTGAAGAGGAACTTCGTGGCTTGATGGCGACGATTATGGTTGACTTGCGGCCTGCGTTCCCAGTTGCGGGGGAGAAGAGGAGCGTGTTGAGTCGTGTTCAGGTCTATGGGGCGCTGGACTGGTTGGCGCGGTTCCATAGTCGGTCGTGGGGGCTGTTGTCTGACGACAGGCGTCTGGATGGGTATGTTTTGCCGCCACTTGAGGAAGCGAAGAGAAGGCGGGAGCAGGGGAAGACGGAGACAGGGAATGCGCTGTGGCTTAACGGGGGGTACACGTATTTGGCGACCCGCCGGAAGGAGTATGCTTCTCTTGTCGAGGATACGGACTCGGAGTGGTCAGAAATCTTTTGTACGGCCTCAGATGGGTCTTTGCAATCGGTGGCTGAGATGGCTGCGTTGCTCTTGACACCCTGTGGAAGGCAGATGGAGTCGCTTATCCATGGCGATGTCAAGTCGGAGAACCTCTTTACGACAAGTAAGGGAGATGAAGTAGCGTTCTTTGATTTTCAATATGTCGGGTTAGGTCTGGGAGTTTGTGACCTGGCTAAACTGTTCACATGCTCAGTTCCACTGAAGATGCTTGTTGACGATGAGGACGACTTGCTACCAGAGCAACTGGAAATGTGTGAAGGTGAGAGAACTTTGCTGGAGCACTACCATAGGATGTTGCTCCAGGATAAAGGAGAGCGTTGGTATGATTGGGAAACCTTTGTACGACACTGGGAGACAGCTGTAGTGGACTGGTGCAGGTTCCAGGCATCTTGGGGTTTCTGGGGAAATACCGAGTGGCTTGAGGCTCGTGTGAGATCTATTGTCAGAGACCACGGGTGGAGGGAATGGCTACTTCGGAGCCTTAGCTCCTGTATTTTGAAAGCGAGGTAGAATTAGATTTCAATAAAGTAAGTGAAGATCCGAACCAGCAGGACTGGGGTTGTGATCAGAATTATTTCCAGATTTCATCAGAAGTATTTATTTATCTCTTTCCCGTATTGTCTACATGGTCCGGGCTCAGTAATATTAAATATCACAACACGGGCTTCCTCTATAATGCTATATCGTTCGAATATATTTGTTACTAGCTCTGCCTGTCACATCTTACTCCTTGGATCTCAAATTTTCCAACCGCCACCTCGCCGCCACAGCATCACCCGCAGAACAATGAAGCACGTCGTCCCAGCAGCAACAAACATACCACTAAACAATTGAGCCTTCCAGAAAGAACCCTGCTTTAGATCCAACAGAAGGGAAGCAATCGGAGTACCAATCAGGAACCCGCAACCAGCAAACATGAAGATCATGCCCAGGCGCGTGCCCACAACACCCAGGGTTGGAGACATGCGTGTCAAAATAGATGGCGGCAGGGAGACAATGGCCCCAGAAGCATAGCCGTATAAACAAGTGAAAACGACGGCCCCGCCCACGTTGCGGATGGCGATCCACACGAATGCCAGAATAGTCGCAAGGATACTAATAGGTACCAGCGTGTTCAAGCCACCGATACGGTCGGCCATGAGGCCTGGGGTGATGCGACCTAACACAGAGGTAGCGTTGAGGACAGCGAAGATGTAGAATGCCAGGCTGCTGTCGTTATGTAGATAGTAGGTGAAGTAGCTTTGCAGGTAGAAGAAGGGAAAGTAGAGTCCCACGAAGCAAAAGAAGAGGCCGAAGCTAAATATGAGGAAGGGTGGCTCTTTGAGGGCAGCGAGGTCCAGTAATGATCTGCTCTTTGTTGGCGGTGGTAACCGCCGCCTTAATACCAGCAATGAAACTGATAGTCCGGCTAGCGCTACGAAGCCAATGATGCGTGTCGTCCACCCGAACCCTACCCGGCTGATTAACTTGTGAAACATTATGGGGTAGACCACCGCCCCGATGCTGCCTCCTGACGCTGTTATTCCGGTAGCGAGGGCACGGCGTGCGGTGAAGTAGGTGGCGACGATAGCGATGCTGGGTAGGAAGAGAAATGCGCAGCCGATACCCACTGTGATGCCGTGCGCAAGGAAGAGCTGATAGTATTGGGTTGAGAGCGAGGTCATCACCAGGCCAAACACTACCATGAATGTTCCGAAGGCGATTAAGCTGTGCAGGAAGCCTTTGTCGAAGATGGGGCCTACAATCACCCCAACCAAAAACAGGACGAAGCCTTGTACAGTGCCGATCCAGGTGATGGCGGAGGATGAGTAGGTGGGGATTAGGTCGGACTGGTAGTAGCTTTGGAATACTCCGTAGGCGTTCAGGATGCCCCTGAGAATTGAGTTGGTTGGCGTTATGGGCCATGACTAAATTGATCGCATCACTTATCATGAGTTGAAGAATAGGAAGAATGCTCCCACGACTTGTAGCCATGCCGTCAAGCCGCCATCAGGAGGTGGAAGGGGAACCGTATCCACCGGCTCTGTGGTCGTCTGCTTTTCTGCCTCTGAAGAATCAGAACTACCTGTTATATTACCTGTCGGAGGGCGGCATTTGATATGCATATTGGTGGTTTGGGTTAGAGACATGACCTTTGATTTTGAGAGCCTTAAAACATGCATTAGGAGATGTAACATTATGCTTGCTACTTCAGCGTCAATTATAGATGCCCATCCAGGCTATCATCAAGTACATTTGTCATCTCTGAGCTGTCTATTGGCGCTTCGGTCTTTCACTCGCAGTATTAGTCTTGCTGGTTTGTAATCATGAAATATTGCGTGATAGGGTACCAGGTCGTCCATAGACCTATAGCCCATGCAATACCACGAAGCCTACGAAGAACTACCAATAAGCAGTAGTTTGCCTAATAACTTACATAGTTTCGTGATTGTCACATAGTCGATCTCAAGGCTATCGGACTGAAAGCGGGCGGCAGGAACACATCCTCGCCGCACTGGTGGAGCCTAGCCTCAAAGATGGCCCTAGAGCGGCAGTTTTATTGGCTCTGATATAAGCTGACTGGATAGGCATGCAGTGCCTTGGACAATAATTGGTGCGTATTAGAGATCGCGCTATGGTGCAATAAGCGCTATCGCTAATTATGGATCTTTAATTATATAGTTAACGAACAGCCCTATCGGATTCCAGTACTTGACCCATCGCCGTGTAGGTGGGTAAAAATGGTGCTTTCTGTTGGCTGATCTCGGTAAAACTTAGATTCGGCACCATGGAAGAAACTGAAGAAAGCAGGAAAAAGTAGCCAAGAGAAGTATTAGCTGTCATTTGTGATACAGTAAAGCGTTGTTGTCCTTGATATCGGCGCGTTCAGCGCAGAAGCAATCCATTGTATGTACTTTCGGTCATCATATTCATCTTGCTTAGCAATACGTATACATGACACTTTAATGGACAAATATTATATTGGCATGTCTTATAGTAGAAGATTTGACATGTTCCGTTCTCTCCATGTTAAAATCAGGTTTACTACCACGATTATATGTCTGGGCTTAGGAACTGCTACAAGTAAATAAGTCTAAACTACACCCTTTTACTACAGTAACTACCTAAACTTAGGATATCAGTCTACTTCATCCACATGAACTGTCCGAATCCTTCCCTTCATGAACAGTTCCTGTTTCAGCACTGGGGCTTGCACAAGCTTGTCTCCACTGCCGAGTACCCATTCCTGATCGGGAGTTAGGCGTTCAATTACTAGGGAAGGCCAAAGTACAGCTCCAGCTATGGTTCCCTTCCCAGTCAATACACGGTCCTCGATAGAAGCATGAATCACTTCATTGGTAGGCTGTGGATTTCCATCGCCAGTCTGCTTGTACTGGAGAGGAGTCCTCTTTGACTTCCCGCCCAGAATGGTCTCCACCGTCCGAGCGAAGCTTCCCGTGTTTGTTTTGCCGAATGCCGTCGCCCATGGGGCTGTGTCTGCCTCTAACGGTCGTGGAGGACGGTCGAAGAGGTACTCCTCAATATCGAAGCTCAACTGATTATGCTTGGTGCATTGCGCGATCATCCAGGCCAGTGTGATATTCGCCAGTCGGGG